TTCACATCTTTGTTTCTTCTTCATCTTTCTTCCCCTTTCCTTTTCCTTTACTCACCTTCTCTTCGTCTCCGTGTTCCACTTCCCTTTCCGTTATTTTATTTTTACTTCCCTCTTATAATTCACTTCATCTTCCATATGTTTCTTTTCCTTTCATTTATCTTATTCGTTGTCTCTACACTTCCCTTCCCTTCCCTTCCCTTCCCTTCCCTTCCCTTCCCTTCCCTTCCCGTCTTCTCCATTTTGTATCCCTGTTCTCCATTTCTTTGTGACATGCTTCTTTCTCCTCCCTTTCCACCTGGCCTTTCCATTTCTTCCAGTGATTCCTTTTCCCCTCTTACTCTACACCTCTCTCCCACCATCCCCTTCCCCTCTCCCCCCATCCCATTCCCCCCCCACCATCCCATTCCCTCTCCCCACCATCCCTTCCCTCCCCCACCATCCCTTCCCTCTCCCCACCAACCCTTCCCCTCTCCCCACCAACCCTCTCCCCTCTCCCCTCACCAACCCCTCCCTCTCCCTACCCCATTCTTGTCCTCTCACTTACCTCCTCTTCTTCTCCCCACATCACTTCTCCCTCACCATCCCCAGTCCTCTCACTTACCTCCTCTTCTTCTCCCCACATCACTTCTCCCTCACCATATGTGTCCCCAGTCTGCCAGTGTATACCTCCCCATTCCTCCCCAGGGGTGGGTGTTGACCCCCAGAGCCGCAACGGCACTCTGCCATAATGGCACCGACCTATATTTGTGGTTTTCGTCGGCGTCGAACTGGCCGTATGTCGCCTGCGTCGGACGCCCCCGAATGCCTACACGGAAAGCGACGTTCACGGGTAGACTACGAAGGTGGCTAACTCTCCTTCAATATATCCTCTCCCACTCTCTCTCCCTTCCTTTGTAATTACCTCTTTTCCTCTCTCCTTTGTGTTCACTTTCACTGTCGACAGGTGAACACAACGTTGCTAGGAACAGGTCACCAGGGATGCATGTTTTTATCCCGGGTAAGTCCTCCAGCGTCCTGGTGCCACAGTGTCCCGGTTCGTACGAGATCCAGCGGCGGTGGTCTTGTTTGAAAAGTTGAAAACATTTTACATTTTCCATTATCCCGCTCCGATGCCAAATTGAATTTTCATGAGGCTTTTACACAAGTGTGGAACCCCTCGTGTTTGGCTTCCGTTTTTATGCTCGCACTCTGGTTTATCTCTCTCTCTCTCTTTCTCTCTCTCTCTCTCTCTCTCTCTCTCTCTCTCTCTCTCTTATTCTCTCAAATTCTCGCTCTCTGGCTAATTAATGTTTACTGCTACGTTGTTTATCTTATATTAAATAGAATTGAAACAAACACTGTATTAACTTATAACAAGAGAGTAGTAGACTCGCAAAAAAATAATCCACATATTATTATAAAATATATCACATTGGTATAGGCGGAGGTGATCACATATTATATCGTCTATACAATAAGATCGTCAGATGCTCACTTGTTTCTCAATCAGGTGTTTATACAATACTACCTTCATAATACCATTTAAGAACACTAAATAAACCCCTGTGTCGTTTGGTATTTTGTTATCTATTGTTTATGGTACGTAGATTAATGAAAAGTATTTGTATATAAAGAGTAGTGTGTGTTGAGGGTGAAGGTTTAGTTGGTATCACCGTGTAATAAGAGTAGATGGTGTGAAATATTTAAATAATGGTGCAAGTAATGTTTAGGTTTTGGAAACAACAGATTGTTAATTTTTAGACTTGTTTATTTGCTTTTTTGTTTCGATATTTTCATTTGTTTTTTGTTCGTGTTTTTATTTATTTTTTTATGTTTTTGTATTCGTGTTTTTCGTTTTTTTTTGTATCATTGTATTTTGTTTGATTTTTATCAGTTTTAATTGTTTTTTGTTTCAAGGTTTTTCTTTTATTTGTTTTTGTATTTGTTTTCCTTTAATTGTTTATTTTTTATCAGTCTTTTCTTTTTTCTTTTTTTTCTTTTTTATCAATGTTTTTTCTATTTGTTTTTATCAATGTTTCTCTTTTTGTTTGTTTTTATATCAATGTTTTCATGTCTTTAACTAGGTGGTCATCTTTGGCCTGACTTTGTTCAGAGTCGTGTTGGCCACTCTCACTCTTGTGCTGGGTAATGTGACTTTCTGCCCCGTCCTGACCAGACGAGGCGGAAAACTGTGACATTACCACACTACCGGGGAAAACCTTGGCTTTTATTTATTATTTATCGTTTCTAGTAAAAAAAAAAGAAGTATATTGAAATTTACGAATCAAAATAACTTGTGGAAAAAGATTATTAGGAAACCTTTGATCACGAAACTGGGTCTTGAATGAAAATTATTATTATTATTATTATTATTATTATTATTATTATTATTATTATTATTATTATTATTTTACACCCTAGACTACCATCATTATGCTCTTATTAACCTATCACCATTGTATTCTTATAAGACTTTACCATAATTATACTCTTCTTATCACTGTCATCATTATACTCGTCCAGGTTCATATAATCCAATAATACACATTACTCTCTTCTGCTGAATGAATCATAAAATGCCATAATTACGATACTTTTTATTCCCTGTAACTCATTTATTAGTAGTTATGAGTTCACGAGTTTATAAAATGAGTAAACAAAAAAAACATAAGTGGGTAAATAATTAAAGAGCTTAATTTTTTTAATGGTGTCGTTGGTATTGTAATGCATAGAGTTAGTAAAGGAGATGGGGAGTATTAGCTGATGATATGTTGTGTGGGGAGGGAGGGAGGGAGGGGAGTAAATTGGACGAAGGAAGGGAGAAGATATAGAGGGAGGAAGGGAAAGATGGATGGAGGGTGGGGGGGAAATGTAGTGGAAGGAAGGGAAGAGTAGAGGGAGGGAGGAAATGTTGGAAGGAGGTAAAATTAAAGGGAGGGAGGGAAGTGTAGAGGGAAGAAGGAAAAGTAAATGGAGAAAGAGAGGAAAATGGAGAACTGGAGGAAGAGGAGGAAGGGAAGAAGTCTTTAAGGACACGGGGAGAGAGACTAAGAAGCTTCGCCTTACCATTCTGTAAACACCCCCTACACACACACACACACACACACACACACACACACACACACACACAGTCATGTTTAGAGATAAGCTTTAGTCTAAATGCTAAGTTTTACTCTGATTATAGATAACATATGGGAGATGTTTCCAGGAACTATTTTAAACCGATCCAAACATCAGCTAAATCGGTCAATTTTGCCGGCGGCGAAACGATTCTAAGAGAGAGAGAGAGAGAGAGAGAGAGAGAGAGAGAGAGAGAGAGACTTGGTTGTTGTTGTTTTGATTTTGGAAGATGGTACCGGAAGACACACACACAAACACTACCACACAACCACTAACCCCACCACAACCACCACCACAACCACTACCACCACACCAAACACTACACACAACCACTACCACCCACCCACCACCACAACCTACCACTACCACTACCACCACCACCACCACCACCACCACCACCACCACCACCACCACCACAAGTACTACCAACATCACTACCACCACTACTTCTACCAACAAGAACAACGTAATTTACCATATTAACTTTGGTAATTACTTCCCCCGAGTAAACTTTGGATTAATGTTCAGTTAATTCACCCACCAGCCCCTTCCCTTCCTTCCTTCCTTCCTTCCTTCCTTCCTTCCTTCCTTCCTTCCTTCCTTCCTTCCTTCCTTCCTTCCTTCCTTACCTGCCACTGCTTCTCATCCCCTTCCTTCCTCCCTTCTTTCCTTCCTTACCTGCCACCGCTTCTCATCCCCTTCCTTCCTTCCTTCCTTCCTTCCTAGTCAGTGTCCCTCGTACTGTGGTTAGGGTTCAGTATATTCTCACCAATCTTTATAACCTTATTTATTTAATTAATTATCTATTTATCTTTTATTTGTTTATTTAACTTTTATTTATTTATTTATTTATTGTTTTTATCTTTTAATTTATTTATTTATATTTTATTTATCTTTAATTTATTTTTATTTATTTATTTATTGATCTATTTATTTATTTACTTTTGGGGAAACATTTTTTAATTAATGTTTAGTTTAATCTTTTGTATTATTAGCCAATGTTTATATTTTCGTGAGTGTTGACAGATACGTGTATGTGCGTTTGTCTGTCCGGTCATTACAGGTAGAGTTTTGTCTTAACTAATGTTTATGTTGTGTTATAGTTTTTATAAACAAGAACAAACACGTGGTAGGTTGTTTAGTTGTTCATATAAATTATAAATATTGCCCTCAGGTGTGTCAAGAGTCGGGTATAAAGGTGTGTGTGTGTGTGTGTGTGTGTGTGTGTGTGTGTGTGTGTGTGTGTGTGTGTGTGTGTGTGTGTGTGTGTGTGTGTGTGTGTGTGTGTGTGTGTGTGTGTGTGTAGATTGGTCGTGGGTTGTGACTGCCACAGAGTTGTTGTGACTTTAGTCTGTTAGCTAAGGTCTGAATTGTAGTCTGTTGGCTGGGGTTTGTTGTACTCTGTTAGCTGAGGTGTGGTATCGTCTGTTGGCTGAGTCTGGTGTAGTCATGTTAGCTGAGGTTTGTTTGTGCTCTGTTGCTGAAGTTAACTGGTATCGTCTGTTCGCTGAGGGTCTGAAACATAGTCTGTTAGCTGAGGTACCAGGTAGTCTGTTAGCTGAGGTCTGGTATAGTCTGTTAGTTGAGGTCTGGTATAGTCTGCTAGTTGAGGTCTGCTGTAGTCTGTTAGCTGAGGTCTGGGGTGGTCTGTTAGCTGAGGTCTGGTGTTACTGTTGTTATGATCAGAGTGCTGTATTTTAATGTCTGTTTTGTATTAGTTGTGAGAGACGAGGTGTGAGGTCAGTTATAACAAGTACTTTATTTCTTATTCAATTTACTTTCCTTGTCAGTTGTATGTTAATTTTTGTTGATTGATTTAGTTTTGTTTGTTGATTTGTTGTGCTTTTAAATGTTTTATCCCGTGTTAGTTATTAATCAATTTGTTTCTTTGTTTTCGTCAGACATATTGAACCGGGCAGCAGGAGGGAGTATCCTGGACAACACCCCGGAGACCGACCTACTCTATGGGAGACTGCAGCCACCGTGGTTATCTGAACAGTACTCGTACACCTCTGATCCTTCTGCTGCCACCCCTGCTGCCTCTGCCACCCCTGCTGCCTCTGCCACCCCTGCTGCTTCTGCCACCCCTGCTGCTTCTGCCGCCCCTGGACCGTCCAATCCCTCCGCCACTGCTGAAGCTGCGGCTTTTGGTGGTGGCTTCTTGCAGGGTAAGTACCAACACGAAGACAGTAAAGAGATATGATGCTGTAGTGAAGGCCGTGTTTAGAGTCCATGTTATCCCAGCAACGTGTGTGTGTGTGTGTGTGTGTGTGTGTGTGTGTGTGTGTGTGTGTGTGTGTGTGTGTGTGTGTGTGTAGCATGATATACAGTTCTGGACCTCCAATGTGTTTCCATGAATGTCTGAAGGTGTGCAGACATATTGCAGAGTGATAGATGTCCTTATTTTTAGTTATAGTTATGTATTTGTTATTATGAAGCCATAATTCTCAGGTGTACGCAGTTGAAGGTTGGTTCCCTAGGCCTGGCTGTCCGTTAGGGGCGGTGTGGACACAGCACATTGTAGGCCAAGTTTTTATTTTTTAGGTAGACAAAGAGACAGCGGCCGGCACTATACCCACCTGTCTTCATTTTTCCCCAACTATAAACTTAAGTACCCATTCACAGCTGGGTAGACTGGGGGTGCCCTGGACGTAAACCAGAGACCCTTAGAACAAGAGGCGACCCTGTATCCTCCCTCCACCACCCCAGCAACACACTTTTCCACATCACCCTATACCTCCCCTTCACCGCTCATCTCCCCACCACACTCCCCACTATATCTCCCTACTCCGCCCACCCATTTCCACCCCCCTCCCCCCCTCCCCCCCACCCTACAGCCCTCACCCTACAGTGGCCGGGTGTTGAGTGGAGGAACGTGAACCTTTCTTCCTTACGGTTCTGGCTTAAGTTTGAATTGTTGAGGTGGGTGTTAGCGTTGGCCGGCCACCCATTGTTGCAAGTGACGGGGCAATTAATGTGTTGGGTGGTGGTGGTGGTCAAGACCCAGGTGTGTGGAGCTGCTGCTGGGTGCTAGTAGTGGTGGTGGTTTGAACCCGGTTGTAGAGCTGCTGGTAAGAGTTGGCTTTTTGTATAAATGTATTTGATTATTATTTATGTGTGTGTGTGTGTGTGTGTGTGTGTGTGTGTGTGTGTGTGTGTGTGTGTGTGTGTGTGTGTGTGTGTTTCCATATGGATTTGCAAAGTTTGGAAGACGAACTTAAATTTCTAAGTACAGGTATGTCCGGGTGATCTTGGCGGTGTTGTAGTGAAATGCGGCGTGGGAGTACCGTAGACTTGTACAGCCGACCAGGTTGTGAAGGGAGGTGGAGTGGTGGTGGCGTGACAGTGTTCCACCTAATCTTGTCACACAGCAATAGGAGCTTATCGTTCCTGAGTCTTTATGTTTATTTCCGGTGACGAGAGATAGAATTACCTGGAACTATTTTATTTCTTTAAGTTAGAGCAAGTTGAGGAAGATAAAGTTGACCACCATTACCTACGTATTGTGTGGTGATAAATAAATTTGTTTAGAGAGCGTACAGGTGTGTGTGTGTGTGTGTGTGTGTGTGTGTGTGTGTGTGTGTGTGTGTGTGTGTGTGTGTGTGTGTGTGTGTGTGTGTGTGTGTGTGTGTGTGTGTGTGTGTGTGTGTGTGTGTGTGTGTGTGTGTGTGTGTGTACAGCGTGAGCCTCCCTGTATGCAAGCACTGTGTGGGTGGTGTTTGTCATGTGGTTTACGTGTTCATACTTGCTTGCTGTGTTTGTGTGTGTGTGTGTTTGTATGTACAATACTCTGTTTCTTGTGTACTTATTTTATTATTTGTGAACTTTTTGTATTTATATGTATTTGTTTTGTTTTTGTTTTTTATGTTGTGTTGTGTGTTGTTGTTGGTGTTCCTTCCTCGTATAGCCGGGAGGTTTTATTGATTTGTTCCTGTCCTTCCGACTCGACCTACTTTGATTACGTGAATAAAGTACTCAGCTTTCTGTTTATTTTTTTTTTTATTATTTTTTTTATTTTTTTTATTTATTTTTTTTGCAAATACAACTCTGGTTATGATTTGATTTTTTGTTTTGTGTTTGTTTTCAACCTTTATGCATGTAAATATTCTCTATCTTTATTTAACACCCCAGAGAGTGAGGAAACGCAATTTACATTTTTTAGTTTCACCACCACCACCACCACCATCATCATCATCATCATCATCATCATCATCATCATCATTACCTATCATATCCAACGATGCCCATTACTGTCTCGTTATATTGTACTTGAGAAACTTTAGATCATTTTATCCCGAACGTCCAGGAATAACAGGTAAATTTATCCGTCTATGTGAGTGACCTAGCGACTGACCTCTGACCCCCCCCCCCGCCTCACACACACACACACCTGGTCATACCTGTGTTGACCTCGAGTTGAAAGAGCGAAGGTCAACTCAATCTTTTGTAAATATATAACTCAAATTATATTACTTTTAAACTAACAAATATAGTGAACTCCCTATGTAATGGACTGTGTTGGAGAGGACTGTTCGTTAGATGTGAAACCTCCATATAGCGATCTGTATGGTAAATGCTAATCGTTATATCGAGGTTCGTGATATGTGAAACCTCCATATAACGGACTATATGGTAGAGGATAGTCCGTTATATGGAGGCTTCACTATATCATAACTATAAAAATTTGGCCCAGTACAAAATTATTTAAAGGCTGCGTTAGAGAGGACGGTGTGGGGTGGTCACATACTGTAGATCTCTCAGTTAGTTCTCAGTTTGTTGCTCGTTTGTGGATTGTTAGTCATAGAGGTGAGTGAAGGAGAGGATGGTGATGATGGTGATGTACCTTAATGGTGTCTTAAGCGTTGAAGGCATACTGGTGTCCCAAAATGATCTGTAGAATTATTGTTTAATGATAGGTTGGGTTAGGTTAGGTTAGCTTGGGTTGGGTTAGCTTAGGTTCGGTTAGGTTAGGTTAGGTTAGGTTAGGTTAGGTTGACTCATTCTTAAATTATTTTCTCGTCGTCTTCATTTCACTCACTGTGCTCCTATTATTTTGGTCTTCGTTTCTTCACTTCCTCCCTACCTCCCCACCTTCCTCTCTCCCTCCCCACCTCCCCACCTTCCTCTCTCCCTCCCCACCTACCTCTCCTCCCTCCTTCCCTCTCTCCCTCCCTCCCTCCCACACTCCAACAGAGGGCCCAAGACAACAGCCAACACATTTTTCTCCTCCGCTACAAGGAAACGACATCAGCATTATGACTCAGGCCAGCGACAGGTGGGGCCAGGTGGTGTAGGCCGCTGAAAAAAAAAACCCACCAACAATTGCCCTCCTGAAGTGATAAAACTCCTGCAGCAAATATATTAGTGTTATTAAACCAGCTCCTCCTCTCATCTCTGTGGTGGAGTCTGGTGGTCGTGGGTTGAGATTGGGTGGTTGGTTGGCTGGTTGGTACGTGGTGAAATGGAGGATTGGTTGAGTATAGGTGTAATGGGTTAGTTTGGTATTGGTGGTGGATATCATGGGTTAAGATGGGTGATAGTACATTGTTTATCATGGGGGGTTAATGGTAGTAGATTGGTTGGTTGGTTGTGAGACCTGTGTGTGTGTAAAGTTGTCCACACTGTTAAGCTCTCGTGTACGCCAACCTTGCGATATCACTGTCTTTCGGTCACCATTGCTGTCTCTTATATGAAAAAAAAAAATATCGACAATTCTCCTCTCAAATGAAATCCTTACTGATTTATGTATCTTCTGTCATGTATCAGTGACACATGTATAAATGTATACCCACACGGCTTCCATCCCCCACCAATTTCACGTCTCTTATTTAAACACATAATTTCCACATTATAATTTAATTAAATGCGTCGTCTTAGTTTCCGCAACGTTGTAATAAATTCATTGACTTCTTGTTTATTTACGTGGGTGAGTATATTAATTATTATCACCTGGGAGTCACATAGGATCGTACCTTTGTGAATCTTGTTTCGGGTTTCAATGAGTTTGTTATATTTTGTACACATTTGTTCTTATTTTTGTTTGGCTGTGTCATGACCTTTGGAATTTGTGATATAATTTGCCTTGATAGTGTGTTTATGGTGTATAACTGTATGTGTATCATAACCTTGAATTGTATTATAATTATTCATGAGTTTTCTATATATATATATACTTATGACATAGAACTGTATCATGACTTCAACAAATTGTAATATAAATCACCATGATATTTTGTTTGTTTGTAGCTTATGACAGAGAACCAAGTTTTGTAATATAATTCACTACGAGTTGGTTATTATTTTTGTGTTGTTTCTTTATGGCATATGGAACTAACAGATGGTTATAATTATCACTGGGTCGTGTGTATGTCAACTAGTTCACTATATAAGTTGGGTTGTTTGCTCGGTCAACACACGTCGTGACGATCCCTTGGTGTGTTAACTCATCACTAGGATAAATAGATTTGTTTTTTTTTAATACGGAGTGAGAGTTGGGAATGGGAGAGAGGGATTGGGGGCTAGGAATGGGGAATAGGGTTTGGGAATGGGGGTGGAAGTTTGGGAATAGAGTGTTAAGCGGTTGGGAATGGATAGTAGGGTCTAGGAAAAGGTTATGGGAGTTTTGGAAATGGGGAGATGGGTTTTGTGGATAGGGGATTGGATTACTGAGAAACGGAAGGAGTGGATGTTTTCCCGATAGGAGGGGAGAGAAGAGTTCGTGGTTGGGGAGGGAAAGGGATGAAAAAGGTGAGGGGTCACGTGGTTGAAAAGCTTCGAGACGTCGAGTGTGTGTGTGTGTGTGTGTGTGTGTGTGTGTGATTATAAAAAGTCGCAGGTGATGTGAGCCGCGTTGAGGGGGACGTGGTGGCGTGCACCTGCCAAACTAATTAACAAAGTGACCCCTGGTGTACCTGCATGAGTGTGGAGGCGGGGCTCTCAGGGGCCGCGTGTGCCTGAGTGTGTAACAGCCTCGCTGCCCCACCACGACCTCGTGTTGACGGCCTCGCTGCCCCACCACGACCTCGTGTTGACGGCCTCGCTGCCCCACCACGACCTCGTGTTGACGGCCTCGCTGCCCCACCACGACCTCGTGTTGACGGCCTCGCTGCCCCATTCACGACCTCCTGTGTTGATTTGGCCCAAGGCCCCACCACGACCTCGCTGTGTT